CCCTGGGGAAGGCAGAGGGACACGGTTGAGGTGGGAGAGGAGGCTGGCTGCCCTGGACCACACCCTCTGTCCCCACCCACATCCCAGTGCCAGCATGGTCAGCGAGCTGGCCCCAGGGCAGAGCCCTTTGGGGAGAAGAACTCAAGGACTCAGGCTCCTGGGCAGGAGGGAGAACTCAGAACTACATCCCCACCTCATCCTGCCCCCATCCCCACCCTATCGCCGGTGCCCTGGCTGGCCCTAGCAGCCTAGAGGAGAGGGCAGCTGCTGTGTTCGAAGAGACAGGACTGCCTGCCTCTGGGCCTAGGGCACGTGGAGGTGACCAGTGCCGGAGCTCAGTCCTCAACAGGGCCACCTGGCATGGCCAGCCATGATCCCCCAGAGCAGGGGCTACAACCTAGAGGGTCTGAGTAGGACCAGTGCCGCTGACCCGTAGGGCTTCTTTGTGAAATAAGCACAATGCCAGGGCTTGAGGCTTGGGGAGTGAAACATGGGCTGGATTTCAGCCCCCATTTGCCCCTTTGGCCAGGCACTCTCATGCAGTGACCAGCCTGCACAACTGAATGTGGCAGCCCTGGCCTTAGAGACCATCTAGTCCAGGGATGGCAAACAGATTCTACCTCTGGTGCCACCTCCTATCGGTGGTGCTGCCTGGATGCTGGGTTAAGAAGGATTCTGAGGCTGTGTCTGGGCTCAGTGGGAAAGAGTGCCCATTGATTACTATAGTTGCCACTGGTGTGGGAGAGGGAAGTGCTTCTTATCTGCTATTCCTGCTTTATTCCAACCCTTTACACAGATAAGGACACTGAGACCCAGATGGGTTAGCAATTTGCCCAGGGCCACCCAGCAAGTCGGTGCCAGAGCTAGAAGTAGAGCTCAGTCTCTTGATTCTCAGGACCTGCTCCTGTAGCCACACTGTCCACGGGCGAGAGGGGAATGTGGCCAGACCAATGGGGAGAGACCGCCCAGCCTTCCTCTCCCCAGCCCTTCTTACGCCATGAGGAAGCGGGCTCCAGCCTCGCCCTTGGCTTCTGAGTGGCTTGGGTCTTCCCTGGCGGACAGCCCCCAGATGCCCAGGTTGAGGCCCAGCAGGTTACAGACCACCACAAGCAGGACCATGGAGCACAGCACACAGCCCATAATCCACCTGCCACAGAGAAGGGACGGGTGTCACTGAGACGGGGGCAGCTGGGCACCAGGAAGGGCTAGCGTAGGACCTGGTGGCTGGGTGAGGCCACGAACCCCAAGGCTGAGGCTTTCGAAGTGTAGATGTGGACACTTCCTGAGGTCTCTCTGCCCTAATGGGGTTCTGAGGCTCAGATCCCAAGGGTACACAGCAAAGGCGGGGACATGGAGGCCCAAGGAGTAGGGGGTCTTGGCTTAAATGGAGGCAGAGGCTGAGTATACCCAGGGGTTGATGAGGGCTGGAAATCAGGCCCAGGGTGGTTGAGAGGCTGGGCTGCCCATCCCACCCCACCCCCACGGGTTCCTGGGCACCTGTATTTCTCATATCTCTGCACCTCCTTCAGGTAGGGGCGGCTGCTCTGTTCCACCTCCTCCAGTGCCCGGCTCCAGCGAGAGGCCGCCTCCCAGGCTGGGAACCCTTCAGCCAGTGTTGTCAGCCCTGCAGGCTGCTGGGCCACTGCCTTCTTCAGCTCTGCCCAAAGCAACAGGGACTTACGGGATGGGGAAGGCACCCGGGGCCCAGGGAGGTGACAGGTGGGCAGGGAGAACATCTGGGACCCACAGAGAGGGCCCACTCTCTGTCCAGGCCCAGCCAAGAGGACAGCCTTCACTCTCCCCACTCCCACTGCCCCACTCCTCTCTCAACAAGCCTCTTTGGTAGGGGTGGGGTGGGGTGGCATGCTGGACAGCCAGCCTGGCCCCTGGGCAGGGCCTCACCTCTGACCACGTCAGCCATCTGCAAGGCAGCCAGGAGCGGGAGGGAGTTGAAGGTGTTGTTCTCCTGCCAGAACCAAATGCGGCTGTGCCTCCTGCTCTCTGTCCGGGTGTCCCAGCTTGGGGGACCCCGACGTCACCAGGCTGGGGAGGGCACCCCGCTCCATGCTCCCAGCTCAGGAAATCAGGAAATAGGCTTCCTTTTGCTCTCTTGGTCAATGCCTTCTTCTCCCCTCCCTCAGCCCTGCCTGACTCAACTCCCCAAAACATTGCTCCTCGAAGACCCCTCCTTTCTAGCCCACCCCTCTTGCCTAGACTATTGCAGTAGACTCGTAGCCAACCGCTCATCTCTCCCACCCATCCTGCACATCCCGCCAGGTCTATTTCCCTAAAGTCCAGCTCCAGCCTACTCTTCCAGCCTCTGCTCCCACTTCCTTCCTCCTGGAACCTTCTGCTCCAGCCACCCAGTGCAGCTGACTCACCATTTCCCCAACTCTGGCACTTTCCAGGCCCAGGGTCACAGGGCTGACTCACGCTGCACCCTCCCCCACAGCCCGTCTCCGCCCAGGACAGCCTGCCTGTCCTCTGGGCTCAGCTTGTGTGCTCGCTCCCTTGCCACCCAGCCCCCAGCCCTTGAGGGTCCTAGCTCTTCTTTCTGCGGCCCTCCACCTGCCCCCCACTCCAGACAATGTGCACTCGAGAATGGGCACCATGAGCCTCCAGCCCAGGGCGCCCTGTGGTAGGTGAGGCCCTGATCTGAACCAAGTCTTAGGTTCCCACCCAAAAGGGGGAAACTGAGGCCCCTCACGGAGTTCCCAGGTACGGGAAGGGTCAGGTAGACTAAAGCATGCACTCACCTCCTGGACCATGCTGGAGAAGTTGGCCTTTGGGACATCCTTCAGCCGATGCAGGACATCGTCCACGGGGGGCACCTGAAAAGGGGGAGAGACATGACAAAGACCATGGAGAGGCCCGAGAGGGATCCCCGGGGGAGGGTGGGGAGCAGAGCCCTCTGAACCCTCAGTGTCCTCGTGTGCAAAATGGGGATCACCACAGCCCCTCCTGCCCAGGGCGGCAGCGAGAACTCAAGGGGCTAATACACGTGAAGCGCTTGCACAATGTCCAGGAAAGCTCATCCCATGGCCAGGGTGACCCTCATCAAGCTGGCTGTGTGGAGATAAGAGAGGAGCAGCCCGAGGAGAGGGATCAGGAGTCTGCCTCAGGAAACACCCAGAACACAGGCTGCCCAAGGATCCCTGGGGCAGCAGGCAGCGCAGCCCCCCTTCGCTCCAAGAGGCCTCCATCCTGGGACTGCACCTGGCTGAAGTCTGCCCCCAGCTCCAGGGCGCGGGCCTGGCTCAGGGCCTCTGCACAGCCCCGGCAGCCGGGTTCCTGCAGCAGGGCGAGGAGGTGCTCCCGGCGCGCCCGGACAGCCGGCTCCAGGTCCTGCTGCCTCTCCAGCAGCTCCACCGAGGTGGTGTTTAGGGCTCGGAGATGGTCCACGGAGACCTGCAGGGCTGAGAGACCCACATCTGGACTGAGAAGTCTCCACTGCTACTGGCATCCTCAGAGGACTTGCAAGAGGCAGAACATCTTCCTGTCCCCCAAACAAAGGGACCTGCGGTCATTAACCTCTGTAGTTATAATGGAACTGCCCCAGGGCCCGTTAGACCAGCATATGGACAGGGATGCCAGAGGGGATCCTGGGATAAAGCCGGGGGAAAGTCATGGGTGGGGCTTGCTGAGGCGGCATGAGAAATCCAATGCCGAATGAGGGTGGGGCCTGCCCCCAGGAGGACACCTGCTGAGCCCCACCCCCACCCAGGAGCTGGTCCCACTCACCCTGGCCCAGGCTGTGCACTGAGGCCAGTGCCTGGTACACGGTGCTACTGAGCTGGGTGTGGATCGTGCTTCCGATGCTCACGCCGACACCTGGAGAGCAAGGGCCATCTGCAGGACTGGCCCCCAGGAGCCTAGCGGCCCTCTCCACCCATTCATCCAGCCTCCCCAGGCCCCATCACTGGGTTCCGCAGGGTGGGTGCTGGCTTCTTGGTCCTGCAGCAGAATGGCTGCTGTGCTGTCCAGCTGGGCCCGATCCCCTCCTCTGCGAGGGTGATCCCAGGTGGAGCCTGGGATGAGGGGATGAGAGGGACCCCCAAGGCAGGCCTGAGCAGGGGGCCCCTGGGGCTGGCCAGCCTGCCAGGCGGCTGTAACCCTCACCATCCAGCTCCTCCAAGACTCGCTCCTGGGGAAGGGAGAACTGCTGTGCCACGGCCTGCAGCTCCTAGGCAAACACAGGGCCATGAGGCTGCTCTTCCCCTGTCACCCGACAGGCCCCGCTCTGGTCCCTTTCCGCCCGCATGCAGCTGGGCGTCCAATCTGAGGACGTACTGGGTGCATTTGTGTATTACAGCAACTCTCCAGCAGGGGGCAGTCAGGTGCGTGTTGGAAGGGGCACCCTTTCTAATTTGCAGGCCATAGGCTAATTTGCGGGACCCACTCTGCTCTGTCCTGCCTGCGCCTGGTGCTCATGGGGGCCGTGTGGGGGTGAGGTGTTACTCGGTACTCACCTGGGGGACATCAGAGACCAGGCCCCGGAGGCTGAGCAGAGTCTCAGGCACAGCCGCGGCACTGGGGCCCATCTGCTCA